GCGTCGCACCGTGCCTGTCCTTTATTGGCCAAGAGCCTATACTATTGTAGCATTGTAAAGTCAATGCAATTTAAAATCTAGGTCGTGTAATCGAGTACCTAATGGGCTGGAGTCGAGTTGCAATGATACTTGCAATACGACGGACGCATTTGCTCAACCGCTTCCTTATTGAACCTAGGTTTTTTGTACCATAGACGGCTTACGTGCATCTTATATTGAGCAAATAATTAATCTGCTAACCTATAAAAATGAATGAAAGTAAAATCGTTCTTTTTTTTTAATTTCTTTTGAAAAAATTGCGTGCAGATTTAGAAGTACTGTATTTTATTTGTATTTTAATTAGTTTCTTTCCTGTGAGCTGTGACAGACGTCCCTAATCTCCGGGCCACTTAAAAGTAAACATGCGTCCATTTGCATCCGCCAACATCCAGGAGCGGGGCGAATGAACCAATTAGTTATCTTGTTTATATTAAACAAAGTTCAAAGAGCCCTTGAAAAGAAAGTCATTATATAATGTGTTAGCGTAATTTATGTTTAATATACCTACACTCTTGCCCTTTTTTCCTTGGAAGCACTTGTTTAATTCCTGCCGTCCATTTTATATACATATATATTTTATCGGTAGATTTTTGACAGGTCGAGAGATGGATATTATTATAAAATTTTACTTGTTACCGAACTTAAAATTTTATATACTGTATCTCTCTTATCATCTTCACGTATGAGCAGTTTACGCTGTTCGAACTGATTTTTTAAGACTGGTGGACACCGACAAGTTAAATGCACGCCCGTATAATGATCGTCATTTATCGTGATTTACGACTGCACTCGTTTTAACTCACTTATGTGTAATAACAAATCAGTATCGGTCTAGCTTTGAATTGACATGTTCATTTTTTACCAGCCATTGTAGCTTTTTCACCTGTTATATGGAAAGATACGAGCCAAGTGACACACTTTTCAATAGATAGCGATAACCGTAACGTTAAAGTAGCTATTTCCTTATCAATTTACTTTTCAAACCTTTCTGTTTCCACGTGCCACGTGTTTCTTTCCTGCATGCTCACTGATTCATCGACCAGCGTAACTCATTTTGTTTGATTTAAAAATTTGAATAATAATGCTATACACTATTGAACCTTTACTCGTTCTTTGCTTCGTATAGAAATTAACTGCTCTACAATTATTATTATGCCGCAATATAACTACTGGTAATTATAATATATCACGTTTTTTCTCACTTATTAAATTAAAACGAACTGTTTTTATGTTAGTAATAAAATATTTAAATTGTCATATTCGAGATTCGGTAGTCGGTAGTGAATCTTAAATGACCATTTCGTCGGAATTTTTTCAGCGCGTTTAATTAAATTACGAAGCTTAATAAAAACCATTAATGCTTTAGATTTTTTAATTGTGAAATTACAGAGCTATTATTATTTATTATTTTGATCTGATCTAATATAAGTAATTACACCTTGAAAGGAGTTTAAAATATTATGTTTAGTAAAACACTACTAAATATACACAAAAGTATTAAGTATTTGTTTTTTTTTGTAATTAAGCTCTCCATATTGTTATTTTAGTAATATTTTTTTTTAGAATTTTGCTTGAAACCAGTTTATTTTTATGGCATGTGTTGCAATGATGACGCCAATAGCATATCAATTATTTAATTATTTTGTACCTACTGGAGATATCGAAATTTGGACCAATTCTTCGTTAAATTGGATGTGGGCAGCACTGTAGGAGGAGGCCTTGCAAAAGGCGGTTAGAATTAGACAATTAGTCTTTTGACCTAACCCAGGAAAGTAGCCTTTATCGTGATTACCATTCAGCGTACATTCGCATCCGCCAAGACCACGACGAATTTGGCGTTGGTCTGAATTAATTGTCTGTTGGTTTGTCACGTATCTAACCAAATACGTACAAAGTGTAACGTCGTCGCACCTTGTATGGACGGTGCTCAGGAAGGAAATTGTGTGATTGTACTGTAATATTAGATGGGCTTTTGACTGAGGTTTGTTGCTTGGTCACCTAAATTGAAATGCAATTTTGGTTCGCATTTCCGAAGTTCCGACGTCCGGTATAAGAGCATTGAACTCAATCTGGAAAACATTATCTAGTGATTGATGGGATCTGGTAATAGTGGTTTAAATGTAAGATTTTTATACATATATTTGGACATTCTTTAATTTTAGACCTCTTTATTATTTTTTTAATAACATTTTTTTTTAATTTTTGAGACTTTAGAAGACATTGATTTTAAAAATATAAATAGAAGATCGTGTAAAAATGCTAGTATAAAATAAATTGATGTGAAAAATATTTTTCCTTTATAAGTTATCATTAAATTACGTTATAATAAACCTGCAGATAGAAATTATAAATGATCGCTGTGGAAAATTACATCGGAAATTCTAAGAAGGAGCATGATTGCAGTCGTTTATTATCATTTAATATAGTGAAACTGCATCGCTACTTTATATTTACTAGTACTGGAATGTGAATATCTAATAGAACATAACTGGTTACCAGGGTACACAGCGAGAGCCCTTCCAACTTAGATTGAGCGCAAATATTTGTTATATCTCTGCATTATGCAAGTTTTAATTAAAGTTTTCCTTCTTGTATGTTTTTCTTGTATACGATAGACGATGTAAAATTCTGATATATTGACAATGCTCTAAGGGCACCTAGCCTAAACATGCTTTACAAAGTCTTTATATTTCTATGGCCGTAGTCAAGTTTAAGTGAAGTATGAATCACGACTCGCAATTTTCTTCGTTAGAACAGTATTGAATTGCCTGCAGCTTTGCATTCTCATCATTGTGAGAAATAGCGTTGCGTATCTCAGCTTCCATCTGAGTATCTGCACGATGGGGCTGCAAGTTTCTAAATATTACACGTCGAACCACTATTTAAATGAGTTCCAAGTACCAGCAGGGGGAGTTTCTATACTATTATTTTAAGGTAGTAAGATTGTACGATTTTTCTTGTCTCTGTTTTGTCTGATTTTATTTGTTTTTATATATATTATGGAACATGTAATAACTTTGCATTTCAATTGTTTACGTTAATTTTGTTGATATTTTCGTACGTATTCAGTATTACATATCATATATTATTTTGTTTTCCTTAAAATTGAATATAAAATTTTTTGAAGTGAGTCACCGATGCACATAACTCCTTCCAGTGAATCACGAACATACTAATAGCCTAACTTACTGGTGGCTTCTCGTTAAGTAAAAAATATTTCGATAATGTCTCCCAGGTCGTTGCAAATTAAAGATATTTTTGCGCGTTTTAGAGTTCTGTAATACTGCATAGCAAGCCGTAATGACGAAATCACCAGAAATTCAGTTAGCTACAATTCTTTAAACGTTTGGCTTTTTTTTTTTAAAAATAACATTTTTTAATGTTCTTTTTTTATTTGATTAGTTTTCTTCATTCCTCCAGATCATATTTACACTACAATGCATTTTTAGCTCCGCATAGAAGGTTAAGTATAACATGGCTTGTATAAGGTTAATGTTATTTAACAATTCATTCGCTATTGGCGACTAATGCACTCATTGTTCTTTTGTATATACATAAATAGAATATAATATGCTTTATTCACTATTAAGTTTTCTGATTTTGCCTTTGATATAATTTTTAGCTGTTTATATAAGGATAAAAACATACGGAACTTAATAAATGACACTAAACACGCTAAGTAATATAATTATTGATGAGCACTAAACATTGAACTGTCACTCAATGATTAATTACACTTTTAGTATTATCGGTATCACCCAGATAGCTTTACATATGGTTTTCATATTGTTATTAGTTCTATTTTGAATTTGTGGAGGGCGTAGAAATTAAAAACTATAGGCGTGTTAAATATTATCTACTTTAGAATAAAAATAAGTATTTCCTACCTCAAAAATTGAACGACAAGTAAAACTTGTTGTGTTATATTTTTTTTAAATCTTAGCAGCCGTAGAACAATAGATTTACGATTTGAACGAAGAATAACGTCACTAGAGCGATATATTCTAAAAAAGTTGTTGAAATGTCTAAATATTTGGAATTAGTTTGTTAATGAATCACTCCGTGCCCATATGGTTGACTTGACAGGACACAATCGGCGCGTGCGCATAGCTATTTATGGATTTGTTAGACCACCGTAATAAATAAAGCCCATCTGTGAGACATCTACCTGACTTCTGGTTTTAATTTTTATATATATTTTAAACTATCAAATGTATTGGACGAAAATAAAATTGATTTAAAATATTTTGTTCTTGTTTGAACGATTTAATTCCTATTGGAAAGAAATATGTATCTAATTCCTATGTCATAACTTTAACGTTTATATTATTTATATTTAATTTTATTCTTTAGGGATAAATGAGCCCTCGAAATTATTTTTATCATAATAATCGATATTTTAGTAAATAATCTGTAATATTTTTAAGCTGTATGTACAATGTACATATTGATTCGCAGTTTAAATATTTTTATCATTGTGTAAGTAATACCTTCATGGACCGTAGTGTTTTCACATTACAAATTAAAATACTTCTCGTTGCGGCGCGTTTTATTTAAACGTAAAGAGAATAAAACAAAAATGCAGCTGATAGCGATTGGAACTGTTGTCAAAAATACATGCATATTGCCGTTATATATAATAATACCTTATTTATGGAGCAGGAGGGAGGCCTTTTAAAACTACTTATTGTGTTCTCGTCTAAATTGATCCTTTATATTTTCTCATGCAAAGTGCGCATTATCTATGTAAGTTGTGAATCATTATGCGTAATGTGACAATTGTTTTGTGGTAATGTGAGAACGCATAAATAAACTAATATTTATACTTGTCGTCCGTTCGTTGGCTGGCTTTTTTGTACTACTACTTTTTGTCAATAAAAATATTTTAACTTTATGCTATAAAATAATAGTTTTAGCTTTCTGAAAGCCATGAAGCATAAAAATTTTCTTTCATTTTTCAGCCATCTACCGTGGTAATGAGAACCAGCCAGCAAAGAAGTCACGTAGTGATGGCAGCAATGATGGTGCAGGCGGTCCTAGGGAACAGTTCGCGTATGGATGTCTCCTCCGCAACGAACTTCTTGGTGCAGAAATTGAGGAACTAAGAGGACCTCCAACAAATTGTGCTGAAGGAAATAGGGCGGCTTTAGGCGCTGTTCAGCTAGCTTCTGCCGCGAGAGCCGCCCTCGCTTACTCCCCGCCCGTCTTCAGATTTCGCGCACCAGTCCACAGTGCAGAAGTAAGTTGTTAAATATTTTCAATACATAATATCGCGTTCTTATTAATTATATATAATATATTGAAGAATATTAATACTTTCTTAAGAGGCGTCGATAGGCAAGCAAGGTCAAAGACCCAATTTCTAATATCCTTGCACTTTATCAATCTGCATAAGCATATTTATGCAGCAAAACACGATTCCGTAAAGGGGCCGGCAATGAAATCGAGTTGTGTACGAAATACCTTTTTCGCTCGAAATCTGGAATTCTCCTGGTTCAGGTAAGCCGGTCACATGTGTATCTATACTTAGAATGTTTGGATTTAAATTGTAAAAAATTATGGCCAGCGATTAAATTGCTTACATTATATCCTGTCTTAAAAGTTTATATTTAATTAGTCTCGTGATTTAAGATAATACATCCATCTTACTTTTATGTATCTCACTAATGTGTTTGATATTGGACGAATATTTCAGAACCCGTCATGTCATAAAGTTGTGCTCTCCTTTTAGGCAGATTTTGGTTCTCATTTCAGTAAAATTTTAAAGCGATTAGCTTATGCATAAATAAGAATTTAACTCTTAACAGGTATGGATCGTCGCGTTTGAAGCAATGTATTCAATTTAAATATGTACATATAATATTCGAAATACTCCAAAATATTGTCACTATTTTTTTTAGTTAATGTTTTACATTAATATTAAACAACTAGCGGCTTACCCTCGCTTCCCTTCGGGTGTGTTCCTGGATACGCGGATTTTGTTCACAATTTCATTGGGTTTTAATTTTTTGCTAATAATTAATTATTTTTCTAAAATGAAAGTAGCCTAAGTTACTCCTTATAACACCAGGTATCTGCCAGTGAAAGTTCCGTCAAAATCGGTCAAACAGTTTCAGTGATTGGCCGGAACAAACAGACAGACAGACAAAAGTTAAATAAAATATATGTCGGAGACGGTCATCAATACGGTCGCTAAACGAAGCGCAGCACGACGCCTGAGTGATGGCAGCACCTTCGGTATTATCGCCAACACTCGGCGAGCTTCGTGCTACGACGGAGCCTAGCTAAGGGAGGGGTGCTAAGAGGGCTGGACACTTGCCTTCGAGCCGAGCCAAGCTTAGGACCGCTCCACTAGGAACTGTCTTGCGTTGCGTATTGTCTATACGTGGTAATAGTGAAGTGGTATATGGTTGTGTAGTGAAGTGCTGTTTAACTATGTACAAAGTGATTATTGTTAATTTGAAATACAACTGTGATTGCATCGACTTTCATTTGAACCAACACTTCCCATATAACGCCCACTGTATAATTCATGATAAAATAATGGAAAATAATAGAGAAAATTAATGCTGCTTCGATATATATTATAAGCACCGTACTAAAAAGCTGTTATTTTGATTTTTATATTTATTTGAAGCTTGTTATTTGATTATTAACAGACGCTTCAATTTTATTTATTTGTAAAGAAGACCAAAAATAGCGAATTTATAACAAAAACTGATAGGTCATGGAAACAAAATTGCACATTTAATTAGTATATTCGCTATAACAATATTATCAGTATGTGATATCTGCATATACGGATGGGTCTAATTGCATTGAAATTTTTATTTGCCGTCAATAAAACGTAATTAAATAATAAAGAGTAATTAGTGATTTGAATGTTTTTTCTTGTTTGAAGGGTTATTTTTTTCGCACACTTTTGATTTATGCTCTTGTGCAGGTCTTGAATGGTGTCGACGATAAATTTCGTTAGGCGGATGACTGCCAGAGACCCAATGCATTGATGTCACGATGATATTTATGAAGGCATCATGTTGATATATTTAGATATATCCTTTTCCTTTAAAGCTTGATGAGTTGTTTAGAAATGAATAATAGGCGATCTTTTTTATTTGCTTGGTTTTTATTTCTGAATGTTAAAATTGTTCGTGCGAGTACCAAAATATGTATATACATATTATATTACAAAATCCAGTTACGGTAATTTTTATGGTTAATATTGGCTTTTCGACTGCTAAAACGTAAATTCGAATTGAAATTTCATTGCAACTTAAAAATGACCTAAATGTGTTTTTGAATCTCGAGAGACATGACCCGAGTATTTAACCCCTCGATTGTAATTCCAAATTGAATTCGCCGATTTATTCAAATTGGCTATTATGTCGCGTAAACTTGGACATCTAATGTGGATCGGTCCACATTGTGGCAGTATGTTTGTTACAAAAATTCAGATTTTAAAAATAAATTGTATTTGAATATTAGGGTCAGCAGTTCTTTTATTATGAGAACGATATTTCGCGGACATTTCCTCGCAAAATATTTCTGCGACGTTAAGAGCTGGTCGCAATAATCTTTATAGCTTTTGCATCCTCTTTTGGCTAACTTAACCCTCGGTCCTTTTCTATCGTTATTATTTTAGAGGTGACAATGTTATATCGATAAGAATATATTTGGTAATGGAACGTGGTCGTGCTGGTGGTGAGATTTTATGTTATACTTTTTATAAGGCTTTACGTTTCGAAATTTATGTCTCCCGATGCTTTGAAATGAGTGTTAGTGAAATTTGAAACTTAGGATTCATTTTCAAACTATAGGCGGCCAGTGTCGTAAATGTTGATTACTACCATCCCAAATTCAAGGGACAGAAAATATATAGTAGTTTTGTAGATATAAAAAACTTGACTTTTTGTCTTATTTGCACGTTTTTGTAAGTTCGATGGCGATATAAAGGTTTTTGAGTTACGAGTTTTATATAGTCTCTTTTATATATATTGTCTTAGTAAAAAGAAAATACATAATTTCGTTCACTTACATCCTACTAATATTATAAATGCGAAAGTTTGTGAGGATGTACGGATGTCTAGACTCTAGATGTATAGAATATAGATGTATGGATGTTTGTTACTCTTTCACGCAAAAACTACCGAATGGATTTTAATGAAACTTTACAATAATAGCTCATACAATATAATAATTAATAACATATGGCTATATATATACGGTTCCCGTGGGATAGATTTGTTTTAGTTTCCCTAGATTTTTTTCTCTAGATAGATTTCAATTTCGAACCCGAGCAAAGCAAGGTTGAGCCGCTAGTAAACAAATAAAAATAGCATTTATCATTATTACACAAAATATAATGTGGAAACTTCTTCAAATATAACAATAGATCTAGTCGTAAATCGTCGCTTTTTGTTTCATATGCACGGGCATTGTTACGATGAAAACGCTGAACGTGTCGGTTCGCTTTGTAATGACAATCCAATTATCGTGTGTCACTGTGTTCTGAGGTATCGTATCACTAAAGTATTTAAATTTACCTCGGTAGCGTGAACTCTTGCGCATTATTCATAATTTATTCCTTAGCCTCCTAATTATTTATGCTAATGGCTCGTTACCAATGTAATCTACTCAAAAATGGCGTGTACGCGTCCTGTTGTTTTAGAAAATCTTTTTTGTAAGAGTTTATAAATAACCATAATATCGTTGTTTAAATTTGACCTCAAACTAGCGAAGTTAGAATAGTTGAAAGTCCGTGAAAAATGGACTTACGGGAAATAGATAGTGTGTGAAAAATTTTATGTATATTACACTTGCAAACGTTCTCAGAAGAAGAAGCCTACGTTTTATTTTTCGATTTGCCTGTTTTTGTACAAAACAATATGATATTTGCCTAAATTTGCATAAATTCATGTTCCTAAGCAAACGAATAATCTAACACAGTCATAACCCAATGCAAAAACTTCGTGATTGAATATTCATTACACTCGACGTAAGTTACAAAGTACACATCACGAGTCAACATAGCAGCATCATATTTTTAATGTTAAGTAAACGTGTCGGGCGGTAAAAAGAAATACTGGATAAAGTGTCCACTTGCAAAAGTACCTTGTGTGTGTCAATTATCGCGAATGGAGCGTTTAGCGCGATAGTGACAATGAGCGTACGCTAATAAAAACCATCTATGTTTTTTGTTCAGTTTCATACGAAATGCAAATAGATTTGCATATATTTTTTGAAGTTATATTTTTGGCACGTTTGGAAAAAAATATGAGAGTAAAATTTTTACAATGCGCGCGCACACCGACAGCCAAAAAGCGACATGATGAAGTTAGCTGCATTCCTTTTACAAACAGAGATTTGTGACATACGGAATGAAATCTTTAGCTATTTTTGTTCTGTTACGCCAAAGAAGTACAACTTCTTACGTGCGTACATAACTACATACACACGTTTTCTTATTTTTATTATACATACTTCTAATTTACTTGTGTATCTTTTTTCACCGGCCATTACGTTTTGCGATACAATACCATTGTTTTTTTCTCTCGCATAATTTTTGTCCCGTCATTTGTCTGTCCGACTGACATCACTCAGCGGTGACAACGTCCTAAAATAAATTATTTAAAATTTTTACGGTCAAACGCTTAGAATATTAACTTTTGCATGTCATTTGTATTTTGTATCGATGTTTTTCAATTCAGACGCAAATGTAAGATGCAAGCACTAAGTGTCTCGGTCACGACAAGCGAGGAAATTCTTTTATGCTCCTTTAAGAAAAGTTTCTACTTGTTTACCGTTTCACATTAAGAAATTTTTACATAATATTCTGAACGCATACTAAGAGTTCTTGGATTGTTAATTCCGTCCACTTGTCTCAAAAATTCTTTAAACAGAGCAAAAAATTTAAAATATGCGTATATTATTTCAGATGCTGTTGCTATGTGATTAAAAAATTTTATTGTCTATGCTGAGAGAATACTTTTTATATTGAAAAAAAAATATATGTGTATTAGTGCTCAGTAGTGTTGATTGCCAATCACGATCAAAGTTAGATTACTCACGCAACCCCTGTCAACAGGTTCTTTGTAAAAAGGAGTACGTCTTCGTTACTGAGGTGAGAGGTCGCCTAATGGTCTAAAACATGATCAGTTGAAACTACTTTAGTAAAATAATTAATGTATAAATCTGTAGTCTAATGTCTAAGTGTTATTGTGAAACGTGTGTATGTTTCAA